GTGCCGGTGACGAAAATTGGGAACCGGACACGGTACCGGTTGAGGCGGTACCGGTACCGGTTCCAGGAACCGGTTGGTCGTCTCCGGTGACGGTGACGGTACTCGGTACCGCCGGTACCGGTTCCGGTGACGGTACCGCACCGGTACCGTGTCCTGGCCTAGTCCTAATAGGGTTTGTTTATAGCTCATGATACATTAAAATACGTAGGGCCTATTCTTTAGGACTGTAAAAAAGCTGGATATTGGAAGAAACTGGAGAAAACTAGAAAGAACTGGAAGAAACTGGAAGAACTAGAAGGACTGGAAAAAACTAGAAGGAATTGGAACAACTGGAAGGAACTGGAAGAAACTGGAAAAAACTGGAAGGAACTGGAAAAAGTTCAAAAAATTGAAAAACCTAAAAAAAACTTTAAAAATATTTATTTTAAATTCTTGTTGTTATAAATTATTATTATTATTATTATTATTATTATTATCATCATCATCATCATCATCATCATCATCATCATCATCATCATCATCATTATTATCATCATTATCATCATAATCATCATCACGTTATCTTAGCCAATGTCTTTAAGATATAAAAAAAGTATTGTTATTTTTTAAATACAAAAAACTACTTTTGCAAAGAATAATTATAATATAAAGTTAGCATAAGTATAAAAATATTAAATTTTAAGAAGTCTTTGTAGTTATATTGCACCTCAATTTATTTATGCAGTATTTATTATAAATAGTATATTTGTAATTATAAGGTATATATTAAAACATTTTGTTTTAAATATCATACATGTCACATAATCAAACCTATTTTTTTTTTCATGATTGACATTTTATTTTCATTGAATTCCTATTTTTGGAATAAAAACATAGAACTTTTTTGTTTACATTTTTTATGTTTTACTCATATTTTAGTCTTTTTCTCTAACCTCTTTTTACTTACAATTTTTTTTTATAAAAATTAGAAAAATGAGCAATTTTTAAGTAATAAAGGGAAAACATAGATGTCTTATAAAAAATTATATTAATAAAACATTCAATGTAATTATTTTATCCATAATTTTTTTAGTATAATTTAACATATTGATTTTTTCCCGTTTTATCATGTAGACTAATATAGAAAAAAATGTCTTATTCATATTAAAAAGTTGGAAAAAAAATAATAAATGTGTATCGTAAAAATAGTGAGATGAAAAAAATAATTTATAAACTATAGTTATGAATATAACAGTTGTAATAATAATAATAATAATAATCACATTAAAATATATCATTTTTAAAGTAATTGGTTGAAGAGTAGAAGAATTTGAAGAAAATGAGAGAAATTGAAAAAAACTAGAAGGAACTAGAAGAAGTGAAAAAAACTGGAAAAAAGTGCAAGTTAAGGCAAGTCTTAAATAACATACCCATAGAATATGAGAAGTTTTTGAGAATATACGGAGTATTGGCCCAATTCAATGCATCCGACGTGTTAATGGATTTTGGGAACATTGTCTCCTAGCTTTTTGCATCAACCCTTGTACCATATTGTACAATAACCAATTACCAAGCCATTTGAGTTGACCCTCTATACGGCGGCTTTAGGCGTTGCAGATGGGCGATACGGGCGTGAACGGAGACGTGGGAGGAGCAATGTCAACGCCGCCACCGCCCACGGACTCGGCGGATTCGGTTTTCGCGGAGGCGAAGATAGCGGTGTGGTGGGACATAGAGAACTGTCAAGTGCCTAGGGGCTCCGATCCGCACGCAATCGCGCGGAACATGAGCTCCGCGCTGGCGAAGTTGAACTACTGTGGGCCAATCTCCATCTCCTCCTACGGAGATACTACCCAAATCTCGCCTTTCATTCAGCAGGCCTTCAATAGCACCGGAATCGCCCTCAACCATGTTCCTGCAGGTATTATATATTCATTGAGTTATTATTTGTGTTTACAGATAGGGAGGGGGGGGGGGGGGTATTTGGCGGGAATAATTTAGGGTTTTGGTTCTGAGGCTGTGGGATTGCGTGATGGGAGATTAAGCTATGATTTTCACGTGTTCTACTTTGCATCTGCGAATGGGTGAATAATATAATTAAGTGTGAGAGCTTGCTTTTCTGCGTTCATAATTAGACTTGATAAACTTTTTTTACTCCCTAGTATTAGGTTTTTTCATTCCGTGTTTGGGAATAATTGCTTTGGTACACAATTTTGGATTTGGTTCCTACTTCGTAGGTAGTACATACCTTTTTTTATGGCCCAAGCCAAATGGATATGTAGACACACAATCTGGTTGTGATGACCTACTAAGGGGTTGTTCTCTTCACATGATTTGAAAAATTTTAATCTAATTGGAATAAGTTCTAAACTAATCTGGTTTGATCTGGATATAGTTATATTTAAAGCTGTTTGTGATCTTAACTGATTCCAATAAGAAAAGTTAATAAGTAATAAGAATAAGTGGAAGAGAACAGACTCTGAATGTCGTTTCTTCCTTTGATGCCATTGTATCTGTCTCCATCTATGTATTCCGTTTCTGCAAAAAATGAAATAATTCTTTGTTTAGGTGCCAAAGATGCTAGTGATAAGAGAATTTTGGTGGACATGATGTTATGGGCGGTTGACAATCCAGCTCCTGCTAATTGTGTATTGGTATCGGGTGATCGAGATTTCTCCAATGCCCTGCACCAGCTGAGAATGCGTAGATACAACATTCTTGTAGCACAACCTCAAAACGCATCTGCAGCACTTGTCTCTGCAGCAAAGACTGTATGGCTCTGGACTAGCCTTTCAGCTGGGGGGCCCCCTCTCAATCATAGCGAATCAATACCACTAGGAAAAGAAAATTACAAGACTTCTAACTTTCAACATGGAAATGGATCTACTGCTCATAATTCAAACATTTCATTTACTGGTCAGTTTTTGGCACCTAATCCACATGCACACAAAAGTGTGGTGCCGCAGGGGAAGAAGGCAAAAAAGTTGATGAAAAAAAACAGTCAACTAAAGGGTGTGAAGAACATGAAAAGGAAGGGTAACATCTCAAGTGGCCCACCTAGTAAGAAACGTAAGAAAAGTGACAGTGGAGTTGCAAGTCATGAATCTCGTTCCGGTTCCGGGCAAGCTAAGACTTGTCCTAACTGCAAGCAGATCCATTTGGGGAAGTGTAATGAGGCACGAAGTTGTCACCATTGTGGAGCTACAAGGCATCTGAAAAGTGATTGTAAACAGTTAGGTGGATCCATAAGAGATGGTGTTGGCCAAGCATTGGCCGGAGGGAAAGGTACTACTTGCTGTAGATATGGAACCACACCACCTAGCGTCCCTCAGATGACAAGTGGATCCACTCCAGCTGCTGTTAGTCAGGTCATGGGGTGTGGAAGTAGTCTTGATAAGGGCAAAGCTGGATCCACTAGCAATAATGTTAGGCAAGCCATTTGTGGAGGAAACTGTCATGATAGTAGTATATCTGGAGACCAGACACTAAGCTTCACTCATATGGCAGTTGAAGTGGCAAATCCATATGTTTCTCATCAGGTCATGTGTGGCCGAGTGTCGGGGCATCAAGAAAGGAATTGCCAACAGCTGACAGGTGTATCCATTAGAGACGATGTAAGCCAGGCCAGTGGAGACCACCAGGATATGAGCATATCGATGAGTATATCTAGATTCCCCACACCAAGTGCCACTCACATAACAGGTGGGTCCAGTCCATATGTTACTAGTCAGGCGATGAGGGGTGGAAATGAACAGAATATGGGTGTATCCGGAGCCCTGACATCGAGCATCACTCAGCAGACAGGGGTAACTTGTAAGGCCCTAACACCAAGGTGTTACCACTGTGGAGAGTTTGGGCATCTGAGAAAGGATTGTCAACTTTTGACAGGTGGATCCACGAGCAGAAAGAAATGCGATGATAGTAGTATATCTGGAGAGCCGGCACCAGAGATCACTCACATAGCAGGTGAAAAGACCAATCCGGATGTTCCTGAGCAGGTTACGGGTGGTGGAGATTCGGGTTATAAACAAAGGGATTATCAATCATTGACAGGTGGATCCATTAGAGATGATGTAAGCCAGGCCATGGGTTGTGGACACTATCAGGATATAGGTATATCTAGATCCCCCACGCAGAGTGTCACTCACATAACTGGTGGGTCCCCTCCACGTGTTGCTAGTCAGGTCATGGGTGCTAGAAGCTGCCATGATATGGATATATCTGGAGCCCGGACACCAAGCATAACTCACCAGACAGGGGTGCCAAGTAATGCCCGAAGTCCGAGGTGTTACCTTTGTGGAGAGTTTGGGCATCTGAGAAGGGATTGTCAACTTTTGACAGGTGGATCTAATGTTAGCCAAGTTACGTGCAGAGGGAACTGTCATGATAGTAGTATATCCGGAAACATGACACCGAGTGCCAGTCACATTGCAGGTGAAGTGGACAGTTTAGATGTTGCTAATCAGGTCGCGGGTGGTGGAGAGTCGGGGCATCAGCATAGCGCCTGTCAACAATTGACAAGTGGATACACTAGAGATGATGTAAGCCAAGACATAGGTGGCGGAAACCACCAGGATATGGACGTATCTAGTTCTTCCGCACCAAGTGTTCCTCACATAACTGGTTGGTCTAGTCCAGATATTGCTAATGAGGTCATGGGCGGTGGAAACCTCCAGGATAATGGTATATCTGGAACCCTGACACCAAGCGTCACTTACCAGGCAGGGGTTGATAGTGGTGCCCTAATGCCGAGGTGTTACCGTTGTGGAGAATTTGGGCATCTACGAAAGGATTGTCATTTGTTGGAAGGTGGAACTACTAGAGATGATGTTCGCCAGGCCATGGGTGATATAAACCACCAGGATATATATATATCTAGATCCTCCACACCAAGTGTCAGTCACATAGCAGGTGGGTCGTGTCCAGATGTTGCTAGTCAGATCATGGGTTGTGGATACTACCCCGATATGGGTATATCTGGAGCCCCAACACCAAGCATTACTCACCAGACTGGATTGGCTAGTAATGCCCTAACACCAAGGTGTTACCGTTGTGGAGAGTTCGGGCATCTGAGAAAGGAGTGTGATTTGTTGACTGGTGGATCCACTAGAGAAGATCTTAGCTTGTCCATGGGTTGTGGGAACTTTAATGATAGTAGTATAGCTGGAGAGCCGAGACCGAGCTTTGTCACTCGAATGACAGGTGGCATGGCCAGTATAGCTGCTGTTAATCAGGTCATGGGTGGCGTAAATCCCCAGAGTATGGCCATATCTAGAGCTCCTGATACCACCCTTCATTCACTTTATCACATGCAACATTATATGCCATGAGGGGGAGTTACAGGTAATATTCTTGTTGCATGTTACTTGGAATAAGGCTTTGTGGTTGTTCTTGCTGTTGTTGCTGCTGCATGTTGCCTATTAAATTATTTGTTGATTGGCTACTTTGTTCGCTAACGTTACATGATTGGAAATTGTATATACTTTTCATAAAATGTTGCACTCTATTTGTGCAAGGTCTTTTCTGTGAAAATTACTCCCTTGTCCCTTGATAAACCTTACCTTTACCTTATTGTGACTTAATTGGTTACCCCAAAAGAGGGAGTATGAATTTTGCATAACACAATCATGCACAATTTTTCTCAAGAGAAAATGATGATGATAATAATATGACAAGTGTAGGGGTGGTTTACACTTTTGGGCCAAAACTCATCTTTTGGATGTGAAGCAATGACACTATGTGCATGCATGTTTCATATTTGGACTACCACATCATGCCGGACCATATTAGGGTAACCAACGCTGTATTTTGGCGTGGTTAGGTGCCCCGAAGGGAACTGGCACGTGGTGTGTTCTTTGGAGATTATGTCACATACTTGGGTAGTGATGATCCTTGTATTTGACTTAGCCCAAATCTGTCGCGGGTGGCGGTAGGCCTGACACCCTGTGGTGAAAAGAATTTGGTTTTGTATCAATGGAATTGATATTGAAAATCAAAGAAGTTATTTTCATACCCTTTGTGGGTGGGTTTACAGGCTTATTGGGCCAACTTGATGATGTGATTTGGCAATTACTCCCTCCATGTGGATTTAGTTGTCCACTATTCTGTTATTAGTATGTTTGGAATTAGTTGTGACTTGCCTTCTTTAGTAATGAAATTTGGAGGAAGTGCCACTTTTATCCTGGAAATGAAATAGACTTATACCATAGTATTGAAAGGTTAAATTTCCACCCCAGTTTATACCATAGGATTTAGTCTCCTCTCTCTCCTTCGCACATGCTTTTTATGTGCACTTCTTCTTGTATCTTTGTTTGCATACTTCTTGTTTTTTTCACACTTCTTCTTCTATCTTTATGTTTTTTTTGCTTTGAGCTAGTCATGACTTCATTATATTTAATACATTTCTATGTAGTAAATACTCTTTATATGTAGTAACTACTCTAATTATTGTGTTTAACATGTATGACTTGCTTTAAATTGACATGATTAATTGCATTGCAATATATATTATCTATATGTGTGTATACCCCAAGTTCTCCTTTTGGTCGCCCTCCTCTTGTGTTGCCTTTCGCCTTAAAAAGGCCCTCTTGCCTCTCGCCTTTCAAAACTATGATTTGTACATGAATGGGAAGGGATTAGTGGTACAATTTTGTCAACAAGTATTTTAGCTTGTGCCATGCGCGGGATGGAACGAATTTTTTGTTTCGAATTTTTAATTTTTCTTAGCTACACCATTTTTAGAAATTTGGGCAAAATAAAATATCAACCTTAAAAGTTAAAATAATTATAAAATATACTCCCTTCGTCCTACAAAACCTTTATGGTTTAGACTTTTGATTTAAGGGGATTAATTTTGGTGTTGACTTTTCAAAAATGTTCTTGGATGTGATGGGTAAAATAGGATATGATAAGTAAATTAATAGTAAAAAAAGTGTGATGTGATAGATAGGTTAAAAATTAGTAGGGGTAAAAGTAACTTTTTAATAGAAATGAAATTTTTTTAGGACATATGAAAAAAGAAAAGAGGAATGTTTTGTGAGACAGAGAGACTATAATATTTGCTAATGAAAATTATACTATATATATTTGAAAATCAACATGTCAGACTCTTTTTAAAACTAGAACATTTTGAAAATTAAGGTATATAACATTTTTGTATCATGTTATAAAAAAAATACCAAAAACATCTAAAACTAATATTTTCAATTTGATTTTTACTCCCAGTCACTAAATTATAATATTGGCGGAATTATTGAGAGCATTAACCACTTTGTTGTAATCCATTTTCACAATGATATGCCTCTAATCTTAGTCTTTGATCTGGCTTAAAGCTTCATTTACATCAATTACCTCCCCTTCTCAAAGTCAAAAACATCTATAATGTAAATCATGTGCAACAATTAAAGCCCCCTCATAATTTCGAGCAATAAAATGAACCCCGACACTCTATCGGCTAACCCCGTTGAAGCATCCTCATTAATCTGTCATAGCCATTATACAACTGCCATTGACGGACAAAAAAAATATGATTATCTCCACATTAGTCTAGATTATCGAATAAAATTGATTCATCTCCCCGCATTAATATTATTCTCCTCCCGCGTATTGATTAAAAAATATTATTTTTCTTTCCACAGATTAATTAAAAAATATATTAGTGATTCTATTATTACTCTCCTTGCATTACTTACTCCGTATGATTCAAAGAGTATGATTCTTCTATCCTGCGTCACTGCATTAATTTTGACTTGCGAAATAAATACTCCCTCCGTCCCAAAAAGATATACACGTTTCAAAAAAATTGCGTCCCACAATCCCTTACCCATTTCTATTAAAAAACCACTTTTACCCCTTACTTTTTCAAACCCTACCTATCACGTCATACATTTTTCCTAATAATCTACACATCACATCATACTTTTACCCATCACATCAAGGGTATTTTTGGAAAGTCAACACAAAATTATTCCTCCCTTAATTTCTACTTTAGTCAAAACGTACCCATCTTTATGGGGCGGAGGGAGTATTATTCATCTCTCATGTATTATATTCATTTTCCTCTCTCACATTGATTAAAAAATATCGGAGTGATTCTTCTCTCCCCACATGAAACAAAAAATAAAATCGTAGATTAGCAATCCTATGATTCAAAAAATAAAAATAAAAAATAATTAAAAATCCAATGATTCTATTCATTAGCATTAGTTAAAAAAATTAATAGAAAAAAATAGTAGCGATCCTGCGATTTTGGATAGAAATTTACACAAATATTTGATAGTTTTTTGTGTTTTTTCTTTATATTTTAATGCAAAACTACTTTTTTTTAATTTATTTGATTTAAATATTTGATCATTTTGAAAATAGTCTAGTCGTTTGTAGTATTTTAATGTAGAGATCAAAATATTTTTATATTTTATTTTATATCAATATTTAAAAAATAAAATCTAAACTAACTTCATTTAAGCGTGTCATAAAAAATATAGAATTTTGAAGGAAGAGAGTATTTTATATCAATATTTGACTTCAAGCGTGTCATTTATAGGTGAAGAGAGTATTTTATATTATTCTAAAATTTTGTAATGAATGAAGAGAGAAATAAAGAATTTGGAAAGAATATTATTATAAAAAGGAATATTTTTCTCATAATTATATTTACTCAAATATTCATTACCAAACTTTTAATTTTATATTATCTATATAAAAAATTATGTGACATATTTGGTGTTAGAAAAACAACATAAAAATAATTTCTTTATTTTTATTCAATTCATAAATTGGGTTGCAAAAAATGTCACATAAATAATGACACATGTTAGCTTTTAGTAATGCCACATGTCAGCTTCTAACAATAGCACATGTCAGCTCTTTAGATTTTGGACTCTTAAATTTATATATAAAAGATAAACGATTTCATTTGCATACTTAAATTTATTCAAAGATTTCATACCAAAGTATTGATTTCACATTTTCTATATTTTAAATTAAGTGGCATATTAGACTATTAAATGTCAAAATAAATATTAAATTTATTTATTGTTGAAGAAAGTAATTTATTTATTATGTATCAATATTTAAATAAATTTAATCAAAAAATTAATTTCAAGTAAACGTATTACAAACACTTAAAAAAATTTATTTATAGGTGAAGAGAGTATTTTATATATTATTCTAAAATTTTGTAATAAATGAAGAGAGAAAATATAGAATTTGGAAAGAATATTATTATAAAAAGGATTATTTTTCTCATAATTATATTTACTCAAATATTTATTGCCAAACTTTTAATTTTATATTTTACATATAAAAAATTATGTGACATATTAGGTGTTAGAAAAGGCAACGTAAAAATGAATTTTTTTCTTTTTATTCAATTCATAAATTGGGTAGCATGAAAAAATCACATAAGTAATGACACATGTTAGCTCTTAGTAATGTCACATATTCTCTTCTAACAATGTCACATGTCAGCTACTTGGAATTTGGAGTCTTAAATTTATATACTCCCTTCCTCCCTAAATATTTGCCACACTTGTATTCCCGAGGCAAAATATCAAGTTTTTCAATTCATTTTATTTACGTATTGGTATAGAAATAAAAATAAAAATTTACATATAAAAAAACTACATGAAAAGTTCTTCGAAATAAGAGGTGTCAAGAATATTTTATTTTATCAAATAAGCAATGAAAACGTAGAAATAAACAAAAGTTCCCGCGACTTCTGAAAAAGCAAATGTTGTGAATATTTTGGGACGGAGGGAGTATAAAAAATAAAAGATTATATTATTTTTTAAATTTGGAGTTCGGGACTAGGGGTGGACACGGTACGGTTCCGAGACGGTTTTAGTCCAGAACCACCGGTTTCGGTACCGCCACCCCTTGGTATCGGTACCGTGACCGGACGGTACCGGTTCCGGTACCCGGACCATCGGTTCCAGTATCGGACCAGCCGGTTTCGGCCACCCCTAATTATTATTATTTTTGCTTTTTTTTTTAAATTTTTAAAGTGTAAAATTGCAAATGTCCAATTATTAAAGGAAAGAATGAAATAAAAAATCTAAAAATGTAGTTGTTATTTAAATGTTGTAAAATGAGTAATACACGAACTGAAGAACAACTACATTTAATATCCTGACGGTTCAAAAAAAGCGACGAGGTAAAGAACCGTAAAGAAACCCTCGAAGGAGCTTATATATCGCTCACTCAAAAAAACTAGTTACATATCTACCTTAACATAAAAAAATTATATCTTATTACTGAGAACTCGGGCTTCCATCTGTGGTTGCATTCATGTAATGTTCGGAATTGAATTCGTATCCTGACTCTTGAGCTCGACGTCTTGCCAAGAGCCAATCTCAGTTGCAAACAAGTGTTTCAAGAGATTCAGCGCTAA